CACACACACACACACTGCAAATTTTCCTGCAAATTTTCCTCCTCTAATTTTTACCGATTTTCGCACAGAATATATCGATTATCTTACCTAAGCTTGTACGAATAAACCGATAAAATGTATATAAGTAATTTTGATGAATAATGTACAAATGGAAAAATTTAGCGAAAAACAAGTATCTTTATTATGCTGCAATTTTCCCATAGATGTATAAAACAAATACTAAACTAGAGAAATATATACATTAAAATAGGGCACAATATAAAAATGCGTGAAACCTAATATATATAAAATGTAAACAATATAGGATATAAAAATCAAAATGTAAAGATATCTGTGAAATTAATTGTCATTTCAATTATGCTCAGATTTAGCGATTTTCGATATTGATACAACTAACATATACATTAAACATATATAATATCTCAAAAACAAGCATTAGATGTATTAAAATATAGCACTATACATATATGGATATGCATGTATATGTATATGTACAGTGTAATATGTATATGTATATGTATATGTATATGTATATGTATATGTATAATATGTATATGTATGTGTATATGATGTACGTACATAATTATATGTGTAATTATTATACATTTTATAATACAAGATGATAATATATTCAATATTATCTAAAATATTATATAAAAATTATACAAATGATAAAGCATCTAATTCAATGTAATTCTAATACAATACAATAATTTCTATTCAATACAAATTTTTCTATCTGCTTACAAAAAAGCTACAATTGAGCAGACACTCTATATACGCAGACACTCTATATATAGTTTCCGAATTAATGATGAGTCTTTCTTGTAAAATTTTTAATTCTCCCTAAAATAAACTTCTTATAAAATTAACGGTCATGAAAATATCAAGGTTTGATATCTTCAAATAGTTCTTATATCTCCCATAAGAATATACATCACATACATATAATAATAATAATATTGCTATCAATGTTTTCATCATTGCGTGTCAATTAAAATAATTAAAACATTTATTAATATCTAATGGAATAATAATTAATAAAAAAATCGATTCACTAAAACACATTTAAGAAATATTCTCAAAATAGAAGTTTCCAAGTATCAAGTTTTTGATAATGTTAATGTATATTGTGAATCGTGATTGTTAATCTACTCTATAATAATTAAATGGAAAAATTATGCAATTAAATTATGCAATTATAAAAACAACGGCGTGAACAAAAACAAAATTCAATAGTTAAATATAACCCTGGAGGCAAACCCTCTAAAATAAATCTTTCTAGAAAACGTGGATGGAAACAAATACGCGCTACAGAATTACGCTCTAAAGGATTATAGCCATAAAATATGAATATATGACTAATCGTACAGTATACTCCATACGATTTTACATAATAATCCAAACAAGGATGTCCACAATTGTTGCAATATTTCATATCAAATAAATGTCTAGTTATCTCATTTGGTATTGACAGTTCTCCTGCGAAATCAGATTGCCTCCTATAAAAAACAATTAAATAATAATTTTGTTCTATATATTACATATCATGTAGATGTCACAAAATATATAAATAATAAAATAAAATAACAAACCATTGTTTTATAACTATTCTAGCTGAAAATTCAAAGAGACTTTGTGACTCTAATGGCATCATTATTTCTCTCAAAGGATAGTTAAGTGGATTACTCATAATATTTAGATATAAATTGTTTTTAAAAATACTTGTTGGCAAATACGCCAATTTGTTATTTGATACGTCTAAACTCATCAAATGTCTTAGAAATCCTAAAGCTTGTGGTAAATGTGTCAATCTGTTATGACTAATGCACAACTTTTTTAACTTTCTTAACATTATAATTTGTATCGGTAATACAGTCAACTATAAATAACAATAAATTATTAAAAATGGTTATAATTAAGAATTATTTCGCAGACGACACAAAATGTTATTTAATAAACATGATAAAGAACGATAACTCTAAATTGATAATTACATACCAAATTTTTTGATAAATTTAGATACATTAGATTGTTTCTTATAGGAATTTGTTCTAACCAAAGCCATTCATGGTTATTGTAATATCTAAGAAAATTATTTGATAAGTCAAGCTGCTCAAGACATGGTAAATTACCAATTTCCTTTGACAAGGCAAAAATCATACTATTTTGCAGAATTATACATTTTAGAAATCGATACGTTGCGATATTATTTAAACCACTAGTTCGTAGAAACCTGTTTGCATACAATTCTACACTCCTCTTCCTCATCCACTTCGTCCACTTCCTCATCCTTTCTTTCAGATAATTTTCCTGTTTCTTAATTTGCCTTTTTGCAAAGATTTTACTTGCAATTTGAAATAAGTGAAATAATATGAGACTCACGATATTCATACTGCAATTTAACGTCCAAAGATCATTTTTTCAGTGATTAGATCTATTTATGTTTATTTAATTTTTCTAAATTATGTTGTACGTATTATATTTGATATAGTCATCATTACAAGGTGAGAAAATCATATTAAACTTTCAACTTTCCGTTCTTAGCACGTGAGCATTTTCATCAAAATTTATATTTATTTCACGTAGTTATTCACTAAATAAATTGACATGTACAAAATACTTTTATTTGTTCTATTTAATTTCATAAAATCAAATTAGATTTATTTAAAGAATTTTTTGCAAAATTTTGTCTTACCTTTTCTTTTTTACCGCGTTTGCAAGAGATCGTACAATAGTCGTTTCTTTCTCCACAGAATTCCTATAATTATTAATTTAGAATACTGTGTTGTCTCGTGTCTTCAATACGAATGTAAGTAAAAATAAGTTCTATTGGGAATCTCGATATTATGTTTATGTCATTATTGTTTATCGTTTTGTATATCGATATAAATATAGACTTATTTAAATTTGAAGTTAACAGTTGAGTGCCACATAAAAGAATAGCACTAAAAAAAAATAAAGAAAATTTTACAAAAACTGACAGTGTAACAGATGTATTAAATTTACATTTGTGTTGAATACATTAATATGCTACAAAGATTTAACAAATCATTTTTAAAATATAGGATTCATTATGTAGAGACTGTCTTTTCTATTCACTCAACTCGAAGCAGATTTATCGTAATAATTTTATAAAAAATGAATTAATGTATAAAAAAACCGTGTAAATAAATAAATAATATTATTGCATTACTTAATTCGTTTCTATTTAAAATAAGAAGAGCACGATAACACTAGCAAGTTTCTAATTGCTTTTTAACAAATACTCATGGCATTCGAACGATAAAAATTAACATCTCAAATTATTTCCAACTTTTGCAAAACTCTACGAAATCGCCACATTTATAATTGAGCTATTTGATTTCTCAACTTCTCCTCTTAATTTTTTATCAATGTCCGATATAATTTTTCAGTTATTTTATTCTCAATCGTTTAAACAAACCGATCCTGAAAAAACATAAGTAATTTTTACAAACGGAAATTTATCAAAAAAATTTGGCAAGAAAGTAAATATCTTTATTGTGTTGTAATTTTTCCATAGATGTACAAAAAAAATACTAAATTAGAGAACTGTAATATGTACATTAAAAATATAAGGCAAAATATAAAATGCGTAAAATACGATATACATAAGAAACAATGAAAT